GCCATTAGAAAGGTTGAGAACCTTTCTGCCCTGGTGGATGCCATGAACTGTATTAAAGGCTCGTGCCATTAAAAAGGTTGAGAACCTTTCTGCCCTGGTGGATGCCATGAAAAGTCTTTAGTTCCCCCTCAGACATGGTAGAAAAGCTGCCAGAGGACCCCCAACTTCTATTACCCCCAGCAGATGTGTCCTTTAGCTTAGAGCAGTGGTTCTCAACCTGTGGGTTTTTTAACAATGAAAATACATTGTGGCATTAGGAAGGCTGAGAACCACTGGCTTAGCGGGTGATTAGAGTCTTACTTAACAAGTACACAGCAGGCTACCACAGTCTTCTGGAACATTCTTTCTAAGATAACTGATTTGTAGACAATGTCTCACCATTGTAAACCATTACTGTTGAAAAATGTGTGCTTTGTTCCCATTGAACACACTACAAAATGCTCTGCCTTGGTCCTTGTGGACACAGAATTCTCCAGCATTTGTGTTCCTTACTCTCTAAGGGGGAAGAGGGGCCCCTTGAACTTGCTGGTATTGAAATGCATTTCCAGATAGACAGAGACAAGAGCTGCCTCTGCAGGAGATGCTGAGGCACACAGTGCACAGGTTTATCTGACAAATATTCAATTACAGACATTCTGATGATTAACCTATTTTCATTTGTCTTACTGATTTTTAAAGTTGTCTTTTTTTGTTTTTGTTTTAAAACAGAGTCTCACTTTGTTGTCCTGGGTCGAGTGCTGTGGCATCATCATAGCTCACAGCAACCTCAAACTCTTAGGCTCAAGTGATTCTCTTGCCTCAGCCTCCGAGTAGCTGGGACTACAGACGCCTGCACAATGCCCAGCTATTGTTAGAGATGGGGTCTCACTCTTGCACAGGCTGGTCTCGAACCCATGAACTTGTCTTTTTACATTCCTTTTTGTAGACAGCTGATTTTTCTAGAGTGATACAGTCCTAGAGATGTTTATGACTATTTGTATCCCATTGCTCTGAATCTGTGTGCAGAGAAAGTTTCTTCTGTTCGTTGGATTTCCTACAAGTTGGTATGTATTAAACTTTTAAAATTTCACATCAGCAAACTATTTCCTGAGATCCCCGAACAGAAGAGTCCCTCACGTCTGCACTCACCACCTAGGTCAGCGAGATGGTGAAGAAGCTGCACACGGCCACGCCTGTAACATTATCAATGAGCTGGTGGAAAATTTTGGCAGATGTCCCAAGTGGTCAGGCCTGTAGGCCTCAGTTTTTGTAAGGTAAGAAAGGACCTGTGCTTGCCTGTTCCTGGAGGTTTTCCAGTAGAATTATGTTTCTTCTCTCACTTCCTGCCTGTCCCTCACAGTCTTCCTTATCTTTAAGGAAAAGAACTTTAGCACAATCTGGCTATTTATAGGATTGTTTGTGTGTTACCATTGGGCAAATATCTGCCCTTCAGCTGGCCCTTTCTCTCAGTCAACCAAGCTTGCTCTAATACTGCCACATACCACACATGCCATGTGTGCGTAGATCCTTAAATGTGTCACACAATAGCCTCCACATGTGCCTACATGTGTACCACACCACACACACCGTCTAAGGGGCATCCAGGGTCACTCAGGTTCCAGGGACATGGGACCACAGTGCCACCTGCCCAGTACATGCCTCTGAGCTCAGTACCAGACTGTTTACCTTTGTGTAGTGACTATGCCCACAATTTCACATTCCAGGCAAAGAGCCAAACTTTGCTGCCTTTCTCAGCCCTTCCCTCCCAGTACAAGCTACTTGATCCCTTCAGCGACTCCTGTACTATGTCCTGAGCTGGGTTGCTCTGGGTGCTTTTCTGTCTGCCTCAGAGAATGAACCTGGCCCCTGCTCCCAGTCACAGCCTGTTCTGCAGTCAGCAGCATCAGGGCGCCGGACTTAGCAAGTCAAAGTGCAGGATACCTGGCTCAGTGCTGGTAACACAGTGGTTAGGGTGCCAGCCATATACACCGAGGGGTATGAGCCTGGCGGGTTTAAGCCTAGCCTAGGCCTGCTAAACAACAACTACAACAAAAAATAGCCAGGTGGGTGGTACCTGTGGCTCAAGGAGTAGGGCACCAGCCCAATATGCTGGAGGTGGTGGGTTTAAACCCAGCCCCAGCCAAAAACTGAAAAAAAAAAAAAAAAAAAAAATAGCCAGGGGTTGTGGTGGGTACCTGTATTCCCAGCTCCCTGGGAGACTGAGGCAACAGAATCTCTTAAGCCCAGGAGTTGGAGGTTGCTGTTAGCTGTGACGCCACAGCACTCTATAAGACTTTGTCTCAAAAAAAAAAAAAAAAGTACAGGACACTCAAATTAAGTAAGCTGCAGGGGACACACGATGTACCCATTTTTGATCTATGGCTCAGCGGCGGGGTGTCCTGCATTTGACAGCAGCCCCATGAGGTGCACCTGGGCAAGCAGGTACAAGCCAGACAGCAGCCACCATCACTCCACTTCCCCTTCCATGAGCTCCTTCTGGGGAGCAGACACTTTCAATGCCAGTGGGTGGCAGGCTCGGCTTCCCAGGCCAAGCTTACACTTTCAAGCTCTCTAGCACTGAACAGTCTTAATAGCAGCAACAGGATTTTCTTTTTATCCCCACATGAAAAACTGAAGAATCGTTGGTGTGACCCTTTCCAGAGAGCTAGGCACCCTCCCAGAGAGAAATTTCCTTTGTCTTACTGCAGCTGGAGTGTTCATCAGTCTCTTGCCTTTTGCTCCTCCATCTCAGAAGAGAACCACGACTGCTCCCCTAGTGTGTGCCTGACAGATGACTAGGCCCTGGCCTGCTCCTCAGATGCTTCTCTCCCTCAGGGCCCAAAGCATGCAGAGACCTCAGGCTGCAGATCACTGTGGGCAGCCCCTGCTCTTGTCTCCTATTTGGACAATGGCAAATGGGCAGTCTGGGTCACAGCTTACTTTGTGGCAGAACTTTGAGGCTAGGAAATGAAACTGTCATCTGACTTGTAGCTTTGCGCCATAAAGTTTACTTAGATGATGGCTAAGACATAGATCATGTTCTGCCAGGAAAATTAATTTGAGTATGAAGCTAAAACCCCCATGCCAGGCACTTTGTTATCCACTATTTAATCCAATGGCCTATTGAAGTCAGGATTATTTTCACAGTTTTTCCAGTGAGAAAACCTAAACTCAGCAAGATTAGCTTATGGGAGGTCACGAAGACAGGGGACCCAGCGAGGGTTTCCCTGCCTGACGCACACATTCGTTCCTGTGCAGCACACCGTTTCTGCAGAAGGTTCATACAGCGCTTAAGTCGCAGCAGTGTGGGGTGCCTGAACTAAGCGCTGCAGGAGCTGAGGTTGGAAGCCTGAAATCTCCTGGGGCAGGGGGATCAGAGACATCACAAGGATGACACTACGTGGGCTGACAGTCTGAGCAGAAGTGAAGAGTTTTTTCAAGAAAACAAACCAGAGCTCACCACAAATATATTATTCTCTTCCTAATTTTACCTAACTACGATACTGTATTTTGCCATGTATAATGCACACCCTGTTGCCCAAATTTCTGAGGGGAAAACATAAGGCTACATGTTATACATGAGTAGCATAAACAGGAGAAGGGGAGCCCAGTGGGCTCCTGGGGCTGCCATGCCCTCCCACCAGGCACAGGAGGTTGCAGTCTGGGAGGATCTGGGATCTGGTGGGAGTGAGCAGCCTCTGCAGAGCACCACAATTAGTGAAACAGGTGGTAGCAGGGCTGGTGAGGCAGACGCAGCCATGCAGAGAGGTTCAGGAACCCCAGCAGTCTCCTGGGATCTACCTGGCTGCCCCAGGGCCAAGCAGCCTCAGAACTTCCTGGTCCACCAGCAACGTGTGTGGCCATCTTGGCTGCAGCCCCCAACGTGGCAGGGAGGGAAGGGATCCTGGGAGAGAGGGGAAGGGGCGCCCTTCACAGAATGGGTGGCTGCAGGAGGACTATGCAATCTGCATATTTACCAGGGGAGTATTACCCCTCCCCAGATGTGCTTTCCCAGTTAAAAGCTTTCTTGAGGGGTGTTTTCCTGAAAGTTTGGGCCAAAAACATGGGTGTGCATTATACAAGGGAGTGCATTTTACATGGAAAAGTATGGAACCTTCTTTTGATTCATGCTAGTCTAGCAACAACAAAGTCGCCAGACAGCAGAGTTAGTATCCATCATGTTGCCGGCTTGGGAGGCCAGGAAGGTAACAGCACTCTTGCTGCTCCCACAGAGAGCCTCTGTGTCATTTAAGGGTCTTTTCTGTCCCTTCTCTGCCCAGGTCCTCCGTCACACCTCTTGGGTCTCCTGAGCTCTAGTTTAGAACACTACAGGGATGATGCCCCACCTTACCTACAAGTACAGAGTTGTATTGTAACTAGCTGCAGTGTGAAGAAAAATACCGGGCAAGCACTAGATCCCATCATGGGAGCTAATTCCAGAGCTACGGGTAGTTATACCAGGGTGTATAAGACTTCCCTTGAAGGAGACTTCAACTACAAAAGCTTAACATTATAGAATTTAACTATAGAAAATAGAGATGCCGATAGTTTGTCTAAATTTTAAATGATAAGATACTTTAATTATAGAATTTTTTAAGTAAGAAAATCCAATGGAAACTTCATTTTCATTTTAGACCAGCCTATCCCAGACATGCTAATAAAGGTTGACTTGTGCTAAGTCCTCATTTCACCTTTGAAATGCAAATGCCTTGTAAACACCTTGGGCCAGGCCCAGCCAGGTGAGTGACTTGGGCTGGTTCCCACTGAGAGCAGGAGCTGCTCACAGACCCACAAGGCAGCAGCAGGACTTGAGGACAGGAGGAAGATGGCTGCCAGTACAGACACTAGAAGCCTGGCACACATGGCAGGTCTGCAGAGGGGAGGGGTGCAAAGCCAGCTACAAACACGTGTGCACTCTTGGCCTTGAGGAAGTATCTAAGTTAGCTTAGAGACTCCTTACCAGCCAAAGGGTGCTCACCTATTTCAAAGAAAGAATGTGCACAAAAAACTAGAAGCTTAGCTTTTTCCCAAATGGCTGTTAAATTTATTTGCTCAATCAATAATGGTCCTGGCAAAAATTAATTAACCAACGCTGAGATATTTGTAATGAAACACTAATTTTAAAAATCCATGATACCTGGGTAGAAATTAGAGTTTACACAAATAAAAAAGGAACCTTCAATATTGCCAGCAGCTGTAAAGTGAATGTACTAGGACCGACAGGACAGCAAGAAGGCCTTTACACGTATATGTCTGACACCTGACGGTACTTTCAGTCACCAGAATACCTTCTCTCCAGATTTAAAAAAATAGTATGCTGATTTCTATAACAAAGCTTTTTTTCATACAAAAATCAAATAATGGCCAACAAGTCACAACAGTGCAATAGGTAGAAGATAAAAAACTGCATCAAACAGGTGCTGAAAATAAATACTAACTAGGAGGAGGAGGGGAGAGCCCTCGGTGGGGTGGTTTCCACCCCCTTGAGTGTGTGGGGGTTTCTCCTGAGCCAGGAGACCTGGCCAGTCTCATGGTACCACTCACTCTGACAGAGCTGACCACAATCCAGTTGCCTCCGGAACCCAGCCTCCCAGCAGCCTCAGAGCACTGATCTGATGGACTAGAGGCAGGAAATGGAGCAGGGCGAGTCACAGCTAGCATTACAAGGAAGGTAATTTGTCTCTATTGCTAATCTTGTCAACTGAAAGTCCACCAGTAGGTTCACTGAGACAGCACGGATAATTCTGAATTTTGTTTAAGAGCATTTATATGGCTTATTCAGGCAAGGAGACATGTACATTCTAGCCCAAGCAAGCAATTGGAGTCATTCTGTTTTTACTAGAGGGTCAGTCATGGAAAGGATTTCTGGTTTGATAAACATCCTTTGTGTGGAGGCACCAGGTCAAGGCAACCACCTTCCCACCAACCCGGTAAAAAGGCCTTTGCTGGCCACGGCAGTGAGTAACCGGCAGGAGTGGGGCCTCCTCCATGCTGGGCCTTGTAGGGGCCAGGGCAGGTGGGCAGGCTCCACAGGCAGCCTCTGTGTGCAACCAAACAAGGCCGTCCTGGTGACTTGGGCTCATGGACTGTGGTTTGGAACTGTCAAAAGAGAGTTACGGGGTGGGTAATAGGTACACCCATAGGAGCCATTCTGGCCAGTCAGAAAACATGAGGCAGCTCCCCCATTGTATAATCTGCACCGAAAAGGTGTGAAAGGCACAAGCAAGAGTGACCAGGGACACAGAGATCTGGAGGGCAGGACGTGGGGCAGGCAGGCACAGGACTGACCTGGTTGGGTTCCCCCCCAAAATGAGAAAGAGATCCTGATTCTGCTGTGATAAAAAAGCAAAGAAAGACAATTTTTGGTTTAAAAAGAAGCCACTCAAGGGTTAAAGTAGTTATTTTAAGTTAACAAGGAAAATTAATCTTCAAATAAGCTGACACTATCTGGAAAACTAATCTGTCCCTACCAGCCCACAGTGTGCCCTCTGCTTCGACCTCCCTCCGGACCTGAGCCTGCTGTGAGGGGTCAGACGTGTGAAAGAGGAAGGGTCTCTGAGAGGAGAAGACATCTTTACAGAATAGACAGTGCGAGAGAGTGCACCCGCAGCTCTCAGGATTACAGTAAGATGCACAGGTCCTTGTGAGTCTAGAGGATTCCACCATGAGCATGCTAGGCGGCTCAGATGGGTGTCTCCTTCCTGTCCTTGCTTGGGGATGGCTTCGCTTGCTCCTTGCCTGCCTTTGGCTGCTCTTTGGCTGCTTTGGCCTCCACAACACAATCTCTGGGCATCTGGGCCACACCCCCACGCCGCTCAGGCTCCTCATCCTCTGGCGCTGCCTGATCAGACTTGGCGCGCTGAATCTGCAGCAGGCGGAGCTGAACGCGCAGCTCGATGATGGCCTCCCGCTCCTCATGAATCGCTTGGTTCAAGTGATTGTTCTTTATCTTGAGGAATAACAGAAAGGGCAGTTACTACTTAAGAAGGAGGACAGAAGGACTGTGCTCAGGCACAGAGAACACTTAATAAGGGCACCCTGTAGAAGGCAGACATGAACGTGAGTTGGCCAGTGAGTCATGGGAACACTGCTCAGAACCGGTGAGTGTGCAAACTCCCCTCCTAGCTATGGAAAGGCAAATACATGCAGAAAACATCCATGTGCCAACAGAGAACAATTAGTTTAATAACTAAGTATTCTAATGCTTAAAATACCCTTGACTCAAAATTTTGTACAGGTTCTGAACAGTCCTGAAGGAGAAAATAAAAGAAATTTTAATAGCAATTAGAGAGGGGAATTAGAGATAGGATAAAAATGTAGATTTGTCTCAAAAGTGAATATCCTTTGTCTTTTGTGAATGGCATTACTTTAAATCCAAAATGTGCTACTTAGTCAAAAAATAGTGAGCTACTACTATCAGTTCTAAATTATCTGCTAGTCTGCAAAGTTTAGGTAATGCGGAACAGGAGGTAATCTCAACCTCCTGCTGACCTCCTTTCCTCCTGCTTCCCACCTGCAAGCATCCAGCCTCCCCTGCTTCCATTGCACTGCCCCACCTCCCAGGGCACTAGGGACAGCCAAGAGACTAAGCCTTTGAGAATGCAGGATAAGTGAAGGGCTAACATCTCTTACACAGAGGCATGTCTTTCCTTTCCCCCTTCCTGCTGACTCAGCGGGAGCAAGATGTAGAACAACCTCTTTGGACCACAAGCAGAAAAAGCCTGTGTTGAGGATGACAGGCCTGGTATGCCTGCCATGTAAAAGACAACATCATCTTGTTTAAACCACTACATTGTTCTTTTTGTTATAGCAGTTCAGTCTATACCCCAAGCACAATAATTTAGATGTTTTCCTACTAACATTTTACAGATCATAGTAAGCCTATGAAAGCAAGAGCTAATGTGAGTGCTTCCCACAAAACAGAAGCTCCAGACCCAGGCCTCAACATCTACTCAGCTTGACCCCATAGCACAGTCCGGATGAAGGAGTTTCTGACCTGGGGCCTGGGCGGGCACCTCTCTGAGCTCCATAGCATGTAGTTGTGTGTGGGATTCTCACTTTCTAGGCAAGGAGTAGCTCTAGTTTGCCCCAGCGCTAAAAGAACCTGAGAGAGGGAAGCAGAGCCAGCTCTCTGTTCTCAGATTCATTTCTGGAAGGTCAACATGGGAGACAATGACTGACTTGAGGTGAGAAGGAATTTCTAGTCTGCAAGTCAAGGAGACTGTCCTTCACTGTGCTCACAGGAAGCTGAGGAGACCTCTCCTTCCTCCACTTGCATTTCTCTTTCTGTTCATCTTCCCTGGGAACAGAGACAAGATCATTCAGAGCTGCTTGGACTGGCACAGTCAGTCCATGTAATGTGAGTGCTTCCCACAGAACAGAAGCCTACCTTCCTTCAGGAAGAGAAAGGTCTATGTGGGGCTCCAGAGGCCTAAGAGCCCGTGCTCAGCTGGTGCCCACAGACTCTGGGGTGAGACATTTGCCTGAATTCTTCCACTTAGCCTCCTAGCTGTTAACCACAAAAAAGAAGGACAATTCTGAGAAGAAATGGGGTCTCTACACCTTCCTAGAAGTTAGTATGCTTTTTGGTCACTTCACCTCAAAACTTACTTCTAGCTCTTCATTCTGTCTCTGTAGATCTTCTAGAATGATCTGCAGTTCCTCTTCGTCCTCACTCTCACTCTCACTCTCAGAGGAGTACTCCTCGGTTTCACTTCGGCCGTGTTGCTGGCGACTGTGAGGGTGAGAGAGGAGGGGAAGATCACGGGATATGTCCCCCTCCTCCCCAGAATGACCATGTGACCATGAAGCTGCTTAATAACTTCTTATTGATAACTAAGACCAGATAACCAGATAAATAAGAAACTTGAGGGTGATTAATTTCAGGCACCTAATTATTATTACTTTTTTCTTTTTTTGAGACAGAGTCTCACTATGTCACCCTTGGTAGAGTGCCATGGCATCACAGCTCACAGCAACCTCAAACTCTTGAGCTTAAGTGATTCTCTTGCCTCAGCCTCCAAGAAGCTGGGACTATAGGCGCCTACCACAACACCTGGGTATTTTTGGTTGCAGTTGTCACTGTTGTTTAGCAGGCTCAGGCTGGTTCCAAACCCGCCAGCCTCAGTGTATATGGCTAGCCCCCCAACTACGGGCACCAAGCCAAGGTACTTAATTATTTTATAGGAAAGTCTGAGAGTTGAAATGGTTACCGTGGAGCCTCCATAGTTGACCACCTCCCTGTACTGACCACCTCCTAAGACCGGACATGCACCACATGTATGTAACAGTGTAGTAGCCCTAGTTCCTAATGTTGACCACCTCGGTGTGTTGACAAGTTTGTTATAGTCCCTGGCGTGGTCAAGTTACAGAAGTTCTCCTATATATTTATAGTTAAACAAACATTCTTTGAAACTTCACAATCCCCAGCTTTCCTTTACCTCTGAATTTCTGCAATCTCAGCTCTGAGGCGTTCTATCTCTTCTTTTTCGGTGGCAATCTGCCGACGCAGAAACTGCTCCATGGCCAGTAGCTCCTCCTGTTCCGTGAGGATCTCATTCTCCTGAAATGATGATCACTGGTGAGCACCTCTGGGTTTTAATCCGGGAAATGTCACCTTTTTGGAGGAATTTTTTAGACCCAGAGTGTTGAACATGTGGTTAAGTGCTACACAACCAAAAATGTCCTGAACAGGCTTCTTTGAAAAGAGGTGAATAAGTTATTTTGAGGAAATGACTAGGTTTTTCTCAACAACAAAGTGTCACCAGACATCCTGTATGTCCTGCAAAGGCCCCTGTGAGGCCTGCACATGGGCAGCCAGGGTTAAAGGGACAAAATCTGCTTTGGCCTCCCAGTCCTTCCTTAATGACATCCTATGTCTCAGGAAAGTGAGGATATTTAGGGCCTTTGATAGTGTCACAATCACAAGACGTGTGGCTGTGTCAGTGTCACCTTCAAGGCAGACAGGCCTGAGGGGGAGAGCATCACAGAGACTGTCCCTCCTCACCGTAAGCCACCATATTCCTCAGCCCAGGTCCTCAGAAACAACATTAAAACAGTAAGTATTCTGCCCGAACAGAATATCCTTTTCTAAAACTGATGAGGTCATCAGTCTTATGAAAGAATGGAAAAAATCCCTATCTGCCCAAGTTCTAGAGAACCCCACCAACACAGACAAAACTTAGGGAGTGACAGAAATGTGGTTACAGATATGAGGGGCTAGATTCTTTCCAAACTAATAGGCATGGAGAAGGTAAGTGCTTATGGTCAAACTCGGGAGATGCTGATCACATTCCAAAATAAACTACTCACAGCTGCAAAGAAGCGCTAAGAACTTTTCTCTTAGGCACAAAATACACAGTATTTCCCAAAGGTGTTTGGACATTCTGAAATGTTTCCTCTTTTTTCAGCATACCCATTAAAGCTAACATTCTAAGAAATTCCAGGTTGAAAAACCCTGAAATAAACACACAATCTGGGACTTCATTCTCTTCTCAGACAGAAGAAAATGCTGTGTGTCCCTGCTAAGCAAAACAATGCATTTTGTAGAAGTGACAGAAAAGGACTGAAACCTGTACATCTTTAGGTAAACCACATACATGGGTTTCTGGAAGTCTAGACACAATGTTTTCAAAGCCTAAAAAATTTCACTCCTTTCTGGTTAAACTCTGGGAAGTTCCAGAACAGAGTAAGGTTGACTTGAAAAATTCAGAAACACAGAAATGAGCTCATTCTTGTCTCTATACCTGGAGTACAGTGGGTAACTCAAGAGACAATGAATGAAGGATTAATAAGATAATTTACCTCCAACAACTGACTTTTGCTTGCAAAGAATAAAATCAAAATACCTAGAAGGTGTTACTAGCAACAACTACCAGTTAAAATTGGAATCATTAGATTTGAAGGTGCCAGATTTTGCAATGTCAGGAACAAAAGGTTTTAAAATATTAAAAGTCTGGGCAGCACCTGTGGCTCAAAGGAGTAGGGTGCCAGCACCATATACCAGAGAGGGTGGGTTCAAACCCAGCCCCGGCCAAAAACGGCAAATAAATAAATAAATAAATAAAAATAAGAGTCTGATCACATTAATATAAAAAAAATAAAAAATAAAAATACCGGCTC